TCTCCTCAATATATGTTCCATTCTATATGCATCTGAAGAAGTGGGCTGTAGCCCACGAAAGCTTATGCTCAAATAAATTTGTTAGTCTCTAAGGTGCCACAAGTACTCCTGTTCTTTTTGCGGCTACAGACTAACACGGCTGCTGCCTGAAACCTTAGATTGCAGGTAGCTCTCAAGTATGGATGGGCCAGCTCTTGAGAGGTCCCTTGGTGTCATTACAGCTTTCTGGCTTATTCCTAATAATAATAAATATTCCTGTATTGTGCAGTAGTGATTTAAGCCATGGCAATAACAGAAATGCAGACCTTGCTGTTTAGAGCCATCACCTCAGAACAGCATCGTATGTGTTCTAAGAGATTACGAAAAGACTTGGATTCTTCTACTCAGTGAAAGATGAGGCATGATCTACTTTGGGGAAGTTCACAAGTAGATTCATTTAGTAATAGATCCTAATCAAATCCATGCTTCTTTGTAAATGATGTTACATTATTCTATATTAATATTTAATATTCCAGTCACACTCTGAGACCCCAGTCAGGAGCAGGGCCTCATTTTGTTAAGTGCTTTAAAGAGCTTAAGATCTAAGAAGACAAGTGACATATGACAGCTGGTGGGGAGAGGGACCCAGTCAAATGTATACGAAGTTTTACATACACAAATACACTTCTTTTGTTGTTGTTGTTGTTGTTATAAATAGATAAAATATTGGTCTGATTCTTAAAACTGGTAAGAACCTACAGCTTCGGTTGACTTTGTTGAGGTTTGTATTGTGGTAGTGTCAAGAGACACCAGCTGAGACTGATGGTTCATAAGAATGTAAAAATGGCCATACTGGGTCAAACCAATGGTCCATCTAGCCCAGAATTCTGATTTCTGACAGTGGCAAGTGTTAGATGCTTCAGAGGGAATGAAGAAAACAGGGCAATTATTAAATGATCCATCACCTATTGTCCAGTCCCAGCATCTAGTCAGATATTTAGGGGCATCCAGAGCAGGGAATTGCATCTTTGACTATCTTGGCTAAAGGCCATTGATGGACCTATCCTCCATGAACGTATCTCTCTCCTTTTCTCTTTATTTTTTAACCCAGTTATACTTTTGTCCTTCACATCATTCCCTGGCAATGAGATTCACACACTGAAGAACTTCTTCACCAAATGCACAGTCCTTTTGTTTGTTTTAAACCCGATGCATATTAATTTCATCGTGTGCCCTCTGCGTCTTGTGTTATGTGAAAGAGTGAATAACGCTTCCCTATTCACTTACTCCACATAACTCGTGATTTTATAGACATCTATCAGATCCTCCTTTAGTCATCTCTTTTCTAAGATGAACAGTCCCAGTCTTTTTAATCTCTCCTCATCTGGAAGCTGTTTCATACTCTTGATAATTTTTCTTGTCCTTCTCTGCACCTTTTCCAATTCTAATATATCTTTTTTAAGATGGGGTGACCGGAACTGCAGGCGGTGTTCAAGGTGTGGACATACCATGGATTATATAGTGGCATTATGATATGTTCTGTCTATCCCTTTCGTAATGGTTCCTAACATTCTGTTTAGTTTTTTTGACTGCCGAATGCAGATTAAGCGGATGTTTTCAGAGAACTATCTATGATGTCTGCAAGATCTTCCTTGAGTGTAACAGCTAATTTAGACCCCATCATTTTGTATGTATAGATGGGATAATGTTTTCCAATGTGCATTACTCTGCACTTACTCATATTGGCATTTCATTTGCCATTTTGTTGCCCCCCACCCAGTTTTGTGAGATCCTTTTGTACCTCTTTTCAGGCAGTTTTGCTCTTAGCTATCTTGTGTAATTTTTTTTCTCATCCACAATTTTTTCCCACCTCACTGTTAACTGTTTTTTCCACATCATTTATGAATATGTTAAACAGCACAGGTCCCAGTACAGATCCTTGGGGACCCCACCATTTCCCTCTCTCTAATCTGAAAACTAATCATTTATTCCTACCCTTTGTTTCCTGTCTTTTAACCAGTTACTGATCCATGTGAGAATCTTTCCACTTATTCCATGCCTGCTTACTTTACTTAAGAGCCTTTGGTGGGGGACCTTGTCAAAGACTTTCTGAAAGTCCAAATGCACTATATCAACTGGATCACCTTTGTTCACATGCTTGTTGACACCCTCAAAGAATTCTAATAGATTGGTGAGGCATGATTTCCTTTTACAAAAGCAGTGTTTACTCTTCCCCAATATATCGTGTTCATCTATGTTTCTGATCATTCTGTTCTTTACTATAGTTTCAACCATTTTGTCTGGTTTACTGGCCTGTACTTTCTAGGATTGCCTCTGGAATCTTTTTTAAAAATTGGCATTACATTAGCTATCCTTCAGTCATTTGGTACAGAGGCTGATTTAAGCAATAGGTTACATATGTCAGTTAGTAGTTCTGTAATTTCACATTTGAGTTCCTTCAGACTTCTTGAGTGAATGCCATCTGGCCCTGGTGACTTACCAATTTTTAATTTATCAATTTCTTCCAAAACTTCCTCAATTGAGACCTCAGTCTGGGACAGTTGCTCAGATTTGTCACCTAAAAAGAATGGCTCAGGTGTGGGAATCCCTCTGACATCCTCTGCAGTGAAGATGATGCACAGAATTCATTTAGCTTCTCCGCAAACTCTAGTCTTTCTTGTGTGCTCCTTTAGCACCTTGAGCATTGCACTTGGCCCTATAGAATTTCAGAGTGAGGAAATTGGATGTCCTCTGCACTTCTGGAAATCCAGCTAGGAGTCTTCACCATCCTGTCCCTCAAGCTTTCATCAATTTATTGATTTCGTATAGGCTTTACGACAGTGGGAATGAGGAGGCGCTTGAAGCAGAGAATCATGGCTAGAATTGGGTGACAATTTTTGAACAAAATTTTTTTAGTGTAAAATGACCCTTTAAAAAAAAACCCCACAAATAATTATTTTTGTGAAAAACTTTGTCAACATTTTATTTTCTGAAAATGTCCTTCATTTTCTGGATATTTTTTCAGAACTGATCAAAAACATCATAGACAATATATATTTTTTTTAACAATGTAAGTCCTTTAATTGTGTTTGCAAGGTGCTTTCATTCTTTGGCATATGTGTGTG